CTCCACATAAGTCTAACCACTTTTTACAGCAAGGTTCAACCTCAGCTGAGTGAATCAGAAGCTCAAAAAAAAAACAACAGAAAGAAAGAAAGAAAAAGAAAAAACAGAAACAAAATTCAGAGCACTCTGGTGGGTGGTAACATGTTACCAATCAAAAACAAAGGTGTAGCAGGAACGGACCAATGGGAAAGCAAGCAGCGCATGATCAGTACGTGATCGCTCGCTGATTGGCTGAAATGGGGTGCGTGGCTGTTGGGGGGCGTTACAGAGGAGTCAGCGGTGTCAGAGTAAACCCGCTGAACCCGATGCTGGAGAACTGGGGGAAAGGTCGGCGCGGGGAATCAGCGGAATCGCGAGATACTCGCACGCGTCTGGCTATAGCTGTGCCAGTGGAGTGTGGCATGCGCAGACGAGAGCCAACGCCTGTGTTCAAAACTCATTTTAAACAAAGAAGCAAACCCGTATAGTACACATTTGACAGAAAATATGGCTGTTGTTGTTTTTATGGATAGACTGTATTGATTTTATAATATAAACTCTCGTCGTGAATGTTTAGTAGCCTCGCGCGACTGGTGCACAAAGGGGAAACGGGGACACCGTGCTGCTTATGAAAGTAACAGCCTGCAATGGAAATAATGAATAACAGCTCTGTACTAATAATGAAACAATAATAGTGCCTATATAGCAATATACTATCGAAATAATTCATTTACATATTTACTTCGCCTTTTTGACGGAAATAAACAATTTAAGAAAAATAGTATTTTGTGAGAGAATGCGTGTTTTTCTGTCATTCTGTTTTTCAAATCATTGCATCACGTGCGTACACAGACCAGATTTTAGTGAACTAAACTGAACTCAGGAACCTCTGCTTTCTGTGAAAGAATCCAGGGCGGAGCCTATGAGTGTACTGCATCTCTTTGTTGTAGCTACACTAACCTTGATGGGTCTCTCTCTTTGTTTTTTTGTCGTGATAATTAGCTGTTTCTACACTAAAAAGATTAGTGAGAACTGGTGTAAATGTGTGCAAATCATATATATTCTAATTGTGTGTCTCTGCAGGAGGGCTGTGATTTGGCTGGTCTGTCTGTGTGAGTAGAGCTGAGCAGACAAAAGGCTTCATCAGTCGCCCCCTCCTCTTCAGAGTTTCAGATATCCAGTGAAAAGACAGAAAAGATCGTATTTCTCTGTCTGTGATGTGTCATACAGCCGAGGAAAACATGTGCTGTCTTTGGAAAATCTCAGTAATCATTAATGTTCTTAGAATGGCAGTTCAAATGTTGACATTCTAAAAGTAGTCTAATGTATCACATATAATTAGACAACACTTAATGTCTTAAATAATGTACATGATTGTTTTGTTTTTTTTACCCACAAAGATGAACCAATAATATAAAACGAGTCCTAAACACATAATTGACACACGAGCAAAGGCAAATATTATGTCCTATTAAACAGCAATATTTAATTCTATATAAATAGGAGGTTCAGCTAATTTGACTGATTATAAAGGCATAGATCTGGTAATATTTGGTAATCCAATGGCACAGATTTACTTTTAGAAGTGCTAAATGAACACATTAACTACAAAAGAGGATTTTTGTTAGAGGAGCACATTTCTTTATAGGGGTGTGGAAGGCAACATCTGGTTTTGCTTCATAATTGTTACATTTTGAAGGCAGAATTGGAATGTTTCTGTTGTTTTTATATCTGATAAAAGTGGTATTGTGGGAGTAAAGAAGTAAAAGAAAAAAGAGACTAAGGTCTCCCTTTAACTGTCACCCGTCCCCTCTGTGGGACGCCTAAGTTTACTTCACTATATTACAATTAAATCATTAATCTAATCATGACAAACTATATATCATTGGAAAGGTCTAAGACTCCTAAATAGATATTTTACCAATGTTTTAGTTAAAAATTATGTAGGAAAAGTAATAGATTAATTTATGTCAAGAGTGCACCTCAAAAATCTACATCATAACAGGAGTTCTGACCTTTGTCACCTTCTTTGTTGCCTTTTTCTCTATCACACTTTAGAAATCATCAGAAATTATATCTCAATTGAAAGCTTTAAATCTCAAAATTCATCCCTTGAAACCCATTTTAAAATCAAACATTGCATTACCATGAAAATGGTACATCAATATCATGTTACAAAATGTTTTCGTTCATGAATTATACAAATGTAAGTTTGGATCGTGCACTTTCACGTCTGTGTTAAAAAATCTGAGTGACAGTTAAAGGGTTAATACTGCACAGATGATTTCATGTAAGTCTCATTTAGCAAGATCTGTTTTAAAAATAAAGCAAAACACTGAGACTGACAGGAAAGCAGATCTACTGTGTTGATGGAACAATGAAACAGGTAAACGAATTAGAAGAAAAGTTGCACATGAAAACATTGTCAAACGTAACTGGATATACACTACCGATAATTAAATGTTAGGTCTCGGTAAGATGTTTTTATGTTTTTCAAAGAAGTCTCATGTTCAACAAGACTGCATTTATTTGATAAAATATGCAGCAAAACGGTAATATTGTGAAATATTCTTAAAACGTAAGTGTCTAAATGTCTTTACTGGTAAGTTTGATCAAATTTATAGTGTCTTTGTTGAATAAAATGAATTTCTTACTGACCCCAAACGTCTGAACAGTAGTGTGGATTCTGGAACTCAAGCACAGTGAGGTTAGCTCTTTATATTCTTATATATCGAATACTTTGTCTAAATTTTTATATTTAATAATACAAATATATTTAGATATATTATTTAATATAACACCATTCAGCAGCTGTATTCAGAAATTAATGAAGGAATCAATAAAGGATAGAATTGTGTCATTTAAACACTCAAATGATTTTACAGAAAGCAGTAGTAATTTTAAGAAAAAAGATCCACATATTAATCAAAAGAAGTACACTATTGTTCAAAAGGTAACAATAATGAAACAAAACCAGATGTTGCCTTGCACCCCATGGAGTACTGAGAATGTAGTTTTGTTTCTCAAGAACTATTACATAAATAATATTGTCCAGAATTAGAACTAAAAGGTTAGCACAAAATGTAAGTGACTAAATAGAATATATTTCACAAGATATTACTACCTGAATTAGTCATGTGTTTTCCACTTCATTATGTGACAGCAAAACATTTTTTTCCTCTGCACTGCATGATTCTGCTTCCTTCCTTGTGAGCTGAATTGCATACGAATTAAGATTTTAACTGGTATGGGGTGTTGAAGAATCTAAACAGGAAATGGATCTTAAATCATTCAGAATGTAATCTATTGTGTGGAACTTTGCTTTTGTGAACCACTGGAAAACACGTATTACTGTTACACTTCAGCAGGTCCTGTCTAAAAATACATTGTGCACAACATATATCGTGGAAAATGCATATTTTGATTCCATTTTATATTTTGCAAAGCGGGGAAAAAATATTAAGACCCCAATTTTGAGGCAAACGTCGCTTTTACGTCAAATTAATATTAATATTAAAACTTTTCTAATGTAAATTTATGATATAAAACATAAGCTATAAATGGTTGAGAGCACTTTCAGAGGACTTAACATTGCTAGACACAGAAAAATCTTACTAAACTTCAGCGTCAAAGCAACAAACACTAAAAGCAGTGTCGCGGGTCAAAGAATGAAAGAGAAACATTTTGGGGGGAGGAGAGGAAGCGAGGTGTGAGATAAAACATTAGAGATAAGACTATCAGTTGTTTACAATGAAATTACGCCGGAGACTTTGCGGTCTAGCGTGTTTATCTATATGTACACAAACCCTGGTCAGTCACTCAGGGTTAAAATCCGCTCGTGCAGCGCAACCCCCAGACCGAGTGTTTTCCTTTTGGCACCATGTAGTGTGTGCAGCTCAAAATAGTGCGGTCTGTTTGGGAGAGCCCAAGTCAAACAGAAATCATGCCAGGAAAACTCTGCAGACTGCCCCTCTACACGTGAGAAGGGAAAACAACTCTGAAAAGTATGCCGGGTACGTTGTTTCGCTGGAAACAAAGAGTTTCTGAGTGTATATGTTTGTGCATGTCATAGGTTCTCTTGCAAGAAGCATGTGGACCGTACAGCACAGACTTTCTGTCCTGGTTTCCCCTCTGGCTCCATCTTTCCCAAATTCCTTCGTTCTTCCACCACTCTTGCCCTGCAGAGTTCGTGTTTTTCTCTCTCTAGATCATCCATGCTGGACTTACTGCTACAGTAAAATTCCTCTGGCCGGTGATACTGTAGTCCTTGTAATCATCAACTAAAGTTTTAGTGTTTTTGATTTGTTTCCTGCCTTTTTTTTGTTACCATTTTCATTAACAAAAATGAAAAATGTGTATACTGTAGGCTATATATAAGCTATTATTAGCTGAAAATGAAACAGAAATATGCATACAATTAAAAACAATATAAACTCTTGTCACAAGAACCCTTATAATCTTGTGTTATTTAAATAGGTGTTTTTACTCATGAGACTTTTAAGACAAACCTTTGCCATGTTATATTCGAGGCATAACTTTTGAGGTTTAACAAGGTGTATAGTAGTACTGATGTTGAGGACAGTGTGACAGCAGTGGGTTGCAAGTACAAAATGACAGCTTATATATATATATATATATATATTAGTTTCAATCACAGTGTGATCAAATAACATTCTCCTGCATGAGTCAGTTCTTGGATTGAAAGGGGTGAAATAGCTTATTATGATCCTTCATCTGGGACACAATACTGCAAAAACTAGTTAGACAATACCCTCGTTCAGTAGAAAGACCCAGTAGAATTACTTTACATTTTTCACAACTGTCAATTTTGCTCCCACAAATTAAAAGACAAAATATTTTTAGTGAGCTGCAGGACAAAGGAACCCATCAGCACTCCATTGTCAGGTGCATTATGCCCCCTGTTGGTTCATCTGTGTAGCTACATTCAATGTAAGTGGTGTATATTTTAATCAAGATATAAAATACATAAAAAAAAAAAATACACTTTTGAGGGAAACCGATACTGTTCATTCCAAGTCTCATAACAGATTTATACTGCAAGACACTATTGAAAATAATGCTCAAAAGTGAAAATCTGACATGACAAAAGAACAAATCTGCTGCTGTTGATGCAGGGAAACAAAAACAAAAAGGGATCTCGGGAACTGATATGCAGATTTCATACTCCAGTGATATTCTTGTCATGAACACGGGTTTTCTTTCTAACAACATGGACCTTTGGAAACTCATGGAAACACGGTTTTGGACCTTTTTTTCTTATTTTTGCAGGAAGTTAAAGTCCATTGAATCTTGGGCTGATGATTCCTTTTCAAAAAACGACGTTCAACGCTGAGAACCTCTTTGTGCACTTCTGCCTGGTGGACTCCCAGAATGAAAGAGAAGAGATCCAGGACCCACACGTACATCCTGGGCAAACTGGGCTCAATTTGTGAGAAATGATCCCCACACATCCTGAGAGGAATTAAAAAAATTTATTTATAATAGAAATAATAAATAACACATTACATTCTTTTATTATATATATATATATATATATATATATATATATATAATAAAATACAATACTATAGTATCTGTAATTGAGAAAACGAAACATTTGTGATGACTCACCTGCGTGGGCATAATCTCAGTTCAGGATGCCAGTATTTTTGGTTGCAGAGGTACTTGAACCCGTCTTTCTTAAGGGTACAGTCCAAACGTTTCTTATACATACTGGGTCCATCCGAACCTTCCTCTTTTCCCCAGCTGAAGTGAAAGCTGGCATGAGGGTTTGTTAAGGAAGACGATTGTTCTGTAAACTTCTGAAATTTCTGCTCCAAATGTTTAGCAACGCCTGGAGAAGTGAAGGCAGACATTGGATGACATACAGAGATACAGTTTTGAGATCATTACTGAGATGTGACCAGATCAGCTTACGCCTTTTTTTCAGAACCGCGCTCTTGCGTTTCAAAGATGTAATGAAAGGCTTAGTGGTTCCCCATTGCCGTCTGAAAGTGCAGAATGAAAGCAGTTGTAGTAAAAGATTTTTCAATAAAAGTCATGTAAACTACTGAAACGGTTGTCTTACTGAGCTTCCTCTCGTTCTTCCCTCTTTCTGGCTTGCTCCAAGACAGGTTGTACAACATCAAACCACTTTTTGAACTTGAAAACTGTGAAAAGCATATAAGAACATGCTGTGAACCAAAATAACAACAACAACAAAAAACAATGATATGCATAAAAAAATACTAGCTAAAAAAAAAGTGTTACGTTTCTTCTTCTTCTTCTTCTTGGCTGCTTCCTCAGATAACTTCCTTGAGACATCAGTGAGAAAAAGGAAACATAATTAGCATTAAAATGTAACTTTACAAATCCAGTGAAGTACAATACTTCTATTCACATCCATCTTAAATTTGTAAAATGGTTGGCACATGTTGCATTACTAAATGCTTGTTATAAGCGATCTAACTCTTTTTTAATTTTTTTTTTTATTAGAGTAGATTCAGAGATAGCGATCATGTAGAGTGGAATTTACTGTGAGCCGAGCCACTTTTAGACAATGAAAGCACAAAATCAGGAGCTGCTAATGTGTAAAAGAACACAGTGCCGCGCTTTACTCTGAAACAGGTAGCACATAACTTTAAGGTAATAAACAAGTTGAGAAAATATACAGCATGATTTGTTAAGTGTATAATAGATAATTCATTTACAGTTTCATTAATGCCACTCCCTTACAACAAATTAATTTAAATTATTTTTCCATACATTTTTAGGATAAGGGCCAGACTACATTATCAATAAGAATTACTGCATTCGCCTTGAGGATTTGTAGAATATCAAAGCCCTAGACATCTAATAATGTTTGCCTATTGACTAACCTCGATCACATTGTGGCAGCTCCTGCAGAAGAACTGACCCTCATCCGACACTCCCCAGCTCACAGCAGCGCACTGGCCGCATGGCTCACTGTATCCATCCTGGAGGAAGAGTCCAACAGTAAGATATCGACTACATAACAGCACAGATCGCCAAACAATACTACCTAAAGGAGAAACTCACAGTAAGCTGTTCGTCCATGACTTTAACACGAGCCACTGAAAACTCCCATATCAAATCGTGCGCACATAGAGTTCTGTTTGTTTTCGATAATCAAACAGCATGGGCAACCACGCTTTCAACATGGCCTCCAAAATATTTTTCATAATAAAGGTCCACTGTCTTCTTCTTGTTCTTGTTCTTGTTCTTCTTTTTGTTCAATGGCCGTTCCCTCCTTAGAAGTATTACCGCCACCTACTGTATCACCATCTTGCGCACATGGGTGATGAATCAGTATAGATGATATCAAGAGAAAAAAAATAAAACTAAAATTGTAATGCCCCACCCACCCTAGAGGATCAGAGCCCAAACTTCAGCTGGCGTTGCGTGTTCAGCTCCTCCAGCTTCCACACTGGGCTCCTCAACCTCCGAGATGGGCAGAAGCATCATGATCCTCATCCTCAATCACTAAATCCTGTGGTCTAGTCCTGTAAGCTCCAAAAACGTTAAAACCACCGTAACCATCTAATTATCACTCAAACCCTTTCCCAGAAGGTCCACTATGCTCACTGGCCTGTTCCTTATATTGCTAAAAGACTGTTTATGCTGATCTTCCAATTTATTACATTTAAAAAGCACATACTCTACTGTTTCAAAAACATCACATTCATCACACATATCATTTTCATGCTTCCCCATTAATGCAAGTGTTGAATTTAGTCCTGTGTGTCCCATCCGTAATCTAGAAATAATTACTTCTTCCTTTCTTCCATAAAACTGTTCTTTTTTCCCCTTCTGATTTTACAATATTATAATACCACCTACCTGTGCTTTGTTGCCATATTCTTATTATTTTCCTATTAATGACTGATTTTATCTCATTTCTTCCCAGAGGTACCTTAACATCCACAAAGTTTTTCTTTAATGAAGCATTAAAAGAAGCTTTTGCTAACTTATCCGCTGTTTCATTCCCTATACAGGTCTTCTCTATCAGTATTTGTCGACAATATACTTTTAAGAGCTGATGAAGAATCTGAGCAAATTACAATCCTGTTTGGCTTAATCTGTTCTACCCACTGCAATCCTACTATTATAGCAGTTCATTCTGTAGAATATACGGACAATTTGTCACTTAACCTTAAACTTATTTTCGTCTTAAATCTTGGAATGTACACTCCCACGTTTTGTTTGATTGGGTCTTTAGATCCATCTGTATAGATCTGTAAAAAAGTCCACGGTCATCTAAAATGTTATGACTTACAAATGAGGTTATTTTAATACTGTTAATATTCCCAATTATGTTATACGCTTTTATTTTTATGGTTTATTATTATTTATATATTGTTTATGACGTAATAAATAAATAGTTTCATACATAGGTCTAATGTAAAAACTGTAATAATTGTATATAAAACAATTATATTACATAATTACATACAACTTAAATACATTTTAATCAGGAAGTAAAAAATATGTAAAATGCATACTACTTGGGTATAATAATGCACATTTGCACACTATCTCATGTATGTAAAAATATTATTCTATCGTTTATTATTTTATATATTTACTTCTAATTGTACTGTTTATTTTTTTTGTGTGTTTATATTATTTGATAAACAGGCCTAATATAAAGAATTGTGTAACAATTGTATTACATAATTATATTATATATTTCTTATATAACTTATAAATCAAATAAATAAATAATTTAATAGGGAAGTGAAAAGTTAGTAAAATGCATGTTTCCAAAAACACATATGTGCACAGTGTATGTATAAATAAAAAATTCAATTATTCTATATCTTATTATTTTATATATTTCTTATTATTGTATTCTATTAGGCTATTTAAATATAATTGTTATTATTTGTTATGTTACCAAGTGCTATAATTAATGTATTGTATTGCATCTATTCTTTTTTATTTTCCACCAATGCTTGCTTTGGCAATAAAAAACAGTTAAAATTGCTATTTACTAAGCCAATAAAACACTTCCACTTCTCCAGTAGCCCCTCACTGCAGAACAAAGATCCAGGGGGCGGGGTTGGATCCACATCTAGGGGGTGGAGATGGTAGGTTTAGGGATCAGGGGGTGGAGATGGGTAGGTTTAGGTATATGTAAGGTGGGAGGAGTTGGATCTGGATCCAACCTCCCCCCCTGGATCTTGTGTTCTGCAGTGAAGACTATCTCCCACTATGTGCCATGTGTCCCTCCTGCATAACTAAGAAAGGTGTCATCATGGACAATAGACACTAGATGGCGTGTAAGTCCATGAAGCTGTCAGTACCTTTGGGTGTAAACAATATCATGGTACTCCCTTACTGAACTATACACTCCCCCCAAATTTTCTTCCCAAAAAGACCTGAGCAGCATTCTCTTTTTTCCATTGCTCTCCTCACTCCATGACGACAGATATAAGACTGTCCTCATCTGTATGACTGTTATGGCATTGTGAAAGACCTTGGAAATTAGCAACAGCAAAAGGGAGATGCCTCACATTAAGGGCCTCTAATTGGCATGCAAAGTAAATTTACAGCGGTATTCAAATCAAACATTTTTAAGACATTCCTTCTGCCATGTATAAGCACAATATATTTATAATATTTTTCATGAATGTATGATGTTTCTGTCCAGAAGATGCATTTTATGTTCAAAATGAAAACTGTAGGGATTTTTAAAAACACATTTTCAGTAAATATATATGTCAGACAAATTGAAGGTGGCTTCATTGTGCAATGTGGCATTTGTCTTTTGTGCCAGTGTGTGTTTGTGTGCATATGTATGAGGTTTTTCTCTTTTTTTAACGTGCACATCAGCAAACCTCCCTCCAATCATCTTCCCCACCTCTTTGGAGAAAGCTGCTTCTTTCACCACTGGGCCAATTTCACGGTTTACTGCCTCCCATGCTTTCTCTAGTGTTCTCTATGCAAAACGCAGCATTGTTGCCAATGGAAATCAGGAACAGTCAGTAACTGCAGGTGTGGGTATTATTCTTCACACTGAAGCACAGCGGACTGCTTTTCCTCAAGTATGGCATGTTTTACAATCCCACTCGTCCTCCACAGACGTCGCATCGCATTGATAGGGATTGTGGGAGGCTGTGGGCGAACAAAAAAATGACACTGAGTGAGTCTTGCTCACTTGGTTCTTATCTGGTATAAATATTACATGCTCTCACTGCCTTTCCCATCACGACTCTGCTCCTGCTGTTCACACAAGCTGAGGTTGGCCAAAAACCAGCCATTGCTTGCTGTGTGCTGTACGAGACAGTAGAGGAAGACACCTTTCTGTAATTAAAACCAAAATATGAAACAATATTAACTACTATATATAATACTTAGCCTTAATATAACACTCAGTACATGAGTATTTACGCATGCAATGCTTGATTGATGTAGTTTGTTGTAACTGCTCAGTCAGTTCAGTGGAGTGAATCCTTTATGCTGGAATCGTTAACAGTTTAGACCAGTTCAACAAATTCGCTGGAAATTTATCTTACAAGTTCTCTGTAATTAAAACCCAATCATGAAACAATATTTGCTATGCCAACATATATGACATTTAACCTAAATGTAACACTCCACATGTGTACGCATGCAACACCCGAGATAGTTTGGACCAGAGCCGTTGGACTAATTTCACTGATTCATTGGAGGGAGTCATTTACGTTGGAAACTTTGTGATCAATTCAACCCATTCAAAAGCCATTCAGTTTCATTTTTCTTTGTAATTACCTAACCATGAAAGAATATTTGCTATCGTATATATAACATTTAACTCAGTACGTGCATATACACACGCAACGAAGGAGCCACTAAACTGATTCAATTGAGTGATTTAATATCAAACCAGTTTGATCTGTTCAAATGAAAACTTAATAGTGTCATTCATTCCATTGCACTTTGCTTATTCTGATTCTAAACAGCAGACAGAAAATACTATAGCCTACACAAATCTTGCTAAAATATTGTCAAGAGAGCAACAAAAAACTTAAAAAGCTAGGCTGCATGATTTAAAATGAGAAATGTAGTGAAACTAATTGCTACTTTTAGCAATGCATCTGCTTAACCAGTTAACCTTCCTTGGTCAACCAGCTTCATCAGAACATTTTTTTTGTTGGTAAACAACATGGCTATGTTGGTCCACCAAGACCAGCACCAAACAAGCATAAACTACCTTGAACAAACATGGTCTAAAATGTTCTTTTCAGCCACAAAATAGTCTTTCTTGGTAGGCACCAATATTTTATTTAGTTGGGATTAAGGCTGGTGTGATGCAATCATTTTAGT